AGCTTATGAGGAGCCCAGCCCAGACCCCGGTTATGTGTGAGCCAACCTGCGTGATGATTGGCTGAATATTTTAGGCCACAGATAGTTCAGAAATTGCCCATATTGTCAATCCTTTATAATGGCGTGACCTTTCAACTGCCCGTGTGACCTCAAATGACCTCAGATCATCACCAAACTTTTTTGTGGCATCGGGCACAGGGGCTCGACCCACGTACCAAAGGACAGACACACACACACACACACACACACACACACACACACAGACACACACACACACACACAGACACACACACACACACACACACACACACACACACACACAGACACACACACACACACACAGACACACACACACACACACACACAGACACACACACACACACACAGACACACACACACACACACACACACACACACACACAGACACACACACACACACACACACAGACACACACACACACACACACACACACACAGACACACACACACACACACACAGACACACACACACACACACACACACACACACACAGACACACACACACACACACACGACACACACACACACACACAGACACACACACACACACACACACACACAGACACACACACACACACACACACACACACACACACAGACACACACACACACACACACACACAGACACACACACACACACAGACACACACACACACACACACACACAGACACACACACACACACACACACACACAGACACACACACACACACACACACACAGACACACACACACACACACACACACAGACACACACACACACACACACAGACACACACACACACACAGACACACACACACACACAGACACACACACACAGACACACACACACACACACACAGACACACACACACACACACAGACACACACACACAGACACACACACACACACACACAGACACACACACACAGACACACACACATACTCACACAAACACACACATACTCACACACACACAAACACACACATCTACAGACATACACACACACACACACAAACACACATATACACACACACATATACACACACATATATACACACACAAACATATACACACATGCGTACATGCACATACACACATACATACACACACACACATACGCACACACAAGTCACGATGCCGAATCAACACTTGTGAGCGGGACACGTCTCAACTAGGAATGGGAATTTGATGAAATTTTCTTAATCGATCGTCGGAAGAATTAACGTTCGATTATCGATTAATCATTAACGTTTTTATGTTAAAATGATCATCATTATTATTACTATCTGCACTAATCTGCATAAATAAATTCAACTTTACGACATATAAACCGTAACCACTCTAGAGCCACATCAGCCCGTTTGACATTATAATGTGTTTAATTCAGTTTTGTTCAACTCTCACAGAAACAAAACTTAAAACCGCATCACTAATTTGCATAAAATAAGCGAAGATAAAAAATACAGCTCTTGTGTCGCTGATGCAGTTCAACTTCTGTTGGATTAAAAGACACGACTCAGTTAACGTTAATTTTAATTGTCAAACTGAATGTAGGTTGCTGTGTGTAGTGTGACCAAACAGGTCTGTACATGTGTCTCTGCATCAGAAGGAGCGAGACACAAACAGTCGGTCAGTCTGTAATGTGCTGAAGCACAAATGTGTATTTAACGATAACTTGTACAAGAAATTCCACGCTTTCCGTTGCGTTTGGGACAAGTGTGAGTCCATGTGCACAGTGTACAAAGCAGCACATATGTTTTGGTGTCCAACGGGAAAAAGTTTTGCGAAAAAGAGTCGCAGTCCCCACCTCCCTCCCCCCGTACGGTGTCCTGGTTTTGACAAACACAAATATGGTCACACTAACCTGTATTCACCTGAGTCATGTCTTTTAATCCAACAGAAATTGACCGCATCAGCGACACAAGAGCTGGAGTTTTATCTTCGCTGAGTTTATGTAAATTGGCGATGTGGTTTTAAGTTTTGTTTCTGTGAGAGTTGAACAAAACTGAATTAAACACATTATAATGTCAAACGGGCTGATGTGGCTCTAGAGTGGTTACGGTTTATTTGTCGTAAAGTTTATTTATGCAGATTAGTAGTGCAGATAGTAATAATAATGATGATCATTTTAATATCAAAACGTTAATGATTAATCGATAATCGATCGTTAATTCTTCCGACGATCGATTAAGAAAATTTCATCGAATGCCCATCCCTAGTTCAGACTGCAGCCTGAAGTGACCCAAATCTGATTTTTTGGCCCCTATGTTCCTGTATCTAATCTTTTAATGACAGTCTGAACCACACAGATCTGACTTTTTTCAAATGTGACCCAGGACACTTGGATATGTGCTCCTGCAACCGATACATATCTGATCTTTTGACATGTGACTTCAGTGTGAACGGCCAAAGTGCATTCATCCACCTACATGTTATCAACAAGACACAAACGTCACTATTCTGCGCTGAAGTAGGTGAAAATTGTTAATGAACTCTGTGTCACTGAAGTGAAGCACATCACCTCTCACCACTCTTGGCTCCGTCTCCACATCCACACGTTCCTTTCAACAGACTGTCTCACAAAACACCACGACCAAAAGCCTCGTCCTTCTCCTTCTCAATCTCCTCCTTAAAACAAGTAAGTTGTTCATGTTCTGGCTCCGGTACGAGAGGAACTTTAAAATCTCCAGGTGCTCAATGCTCACGTCCATGTTTGTTCAACTTCTGTAAACACAGAGCACGCTCGCTGCGGTTGACATCGTCGTGTCTCCAGTGCACATGCGGGACACTTTTGGGCCGTTTAATGTTCACACTGGAGTCACATACAAGTCACATTTAATTGGAAATATGAACGACCTTGAAAAAACATCAGATTTCACAAAAAAATCAGAATTAAGCATTAAGCCCTGCAGTCTGAACATAGACTAATTTCAACTATTATAATGACCATGGAATAAAAATGCAAACACACCTTTTCAAAAATCAATAAACCTTACTTTCTACAGAACATTAACTCAGGAAGTGTAAGACAAACAAAAACAACAGGCCTAAATAAAACAGACTTGTTAACACAAGACTAGTCTAATGTGTCTGGTTTACAGCGAGGACTTGTTTCATAAAAATGCACTTGAATAAACCAAATACAATCAAAGCAATAAATAAAATGGATTATTAAGTTTCTGTAACAAAATTGCCCTTAAAAGAGATTTTAGTCTCTGACTTACATTGGTGTATAGTGGCTCGTCTCTCTGTGGCTGCTGCTGTGCCTCGTTATTTTGGTCATTTAAATGTTCGTATTAACCCGCGACAGAAGATGTTATTTCACTCTGAGGGAGACTGTCCTGTCTGGTATCATGTCTGAGTCTTGTGGGGTTTCAGTGGATTTTGGTCTTTCTCGGAGGCGGGGCTACTTCTGTCACTCGGGTTTGGGTTTATATATCAGCTGGTGGGGTTTGAGACATTTCTTCTCATCCAATGAGATTCATTTGGTGTTCCGATACTTTATGTTATTAACGTCACTGGGACAGAGGAAAACAAACATCGCCGCTGGATTAAAGAAGCAATTGAAATACAGAAACGTGCCCACAGGACGATAAACCGGGACGAGGAGACTTTTTTACTCTCACACACCTGGGATACTGTCCTGAGGAAGTGGCACTGCAGGTGGCGCTGTCGTCCTGTCTCCAGCGGTGGGAAGACAGCACCAAAACCTGTTTAAATCAGTTGCGCGGACACGTCACAGCAACATCACGTGACCACTCTGAGGTAGACCGCTAAACAAACAAACAAAAACAAAACTTGAGGTCTGCAAAAAGAACCTAATAACATATTTCTTCTCGTCGTTTCGCTGAATTTGACGCACGTGACCGTTGAGACGTGTCCCGCTCACTCGTGTTGACTTGTTTTGTCACTCGGCGATGAAGTGTTTTGGTTCTCACAGCGACTTCATGTTAAACCGCAAAGACAGCGGCGCTTTCTGCGCTCAGGCTTCGCGTGCATCCACTGCGATGATAAACACAGCGCACATTGGTTCAAGCGTCATTACACTTGTTAAACGAGAAGAGTCAGAGCGATAGTCTCTTTTGAGAGCGAGAGAGACAGACGAGGAAAACAAACAAACATGCAAATAGAATTTACTGCAGACGGAAAAGTTATCGAGCTCGTTAAAAGTTATGGTACGATTGATTGATTTATTGATTATCGTTACAGGCCTATTTGAGAGGGACTCGTTTAACAGTAAAAATCATCTCTCCTGTTGTAGTTCCAGTTCAGTCAGTTCATCGTGTTGAAATGAAGCTCAGATTAAAGTCTTAACAAAACCTCAGACAGAGCATGCCTCCAGTTAGCATCACAACCCCGACGACTGTTGTTGACTTCAGCTGCAAAGTATCAGTTAGCCTCTCCACAGATCTGACCTGAAC